TCAGAAATGAAAAAAATCGCTAAAATCGCACCGGATCGGGAAAATAACCACACAGCAAGCAAGAACACACCATGTAAATAAGGTAAGACGTTTTTTATTGAGAATTTCTACGAGTATTTATCTTCCTAAATCTATAACGTGGATTCCCATACAAATCCTTTATAAATTCACGGCCGCCATGTAACCCAATACCGCTTTCGTTGAACAGTCACGTCCCGGCTCGCACACCGCTAATAATTAATCTAATCCTTTCACGTGACGTGAGCTTGGGCTGCCTGTGCTTTGACGAACCTTAAAAACATTTTAATGAGCAAATGGCACTTAATTCAAGATCAACCACTACTGAGAGAAATAAACAACGAGCCTCCCATCATTTCATATAAAAGAGCAAAATCGCTGGGAGATATCCTCGTTAGAGCAAAACTATAAGGTCACGTATCACACTATCACACTATCACGAGCTTATGAGTCGTGTTTGGCCTGTCAACACCTTTCACCTGCTGTTTATCGTCCAAGAAAAGATATCCTGATTAAGACAAAAAATGATAAATTCGATACCCTGTTTAAGACAAAAATCTCGAAAAACATACCCTGGCTGGCCGCACGTCCCCATTAAGCCCTTATAAGGGAGTACCCAACCCGGGGAATTTGGGAGAAAATTCTAGTAAGTAGAGTTTTTAAAAAGGGAGGATTCGAGGTTAAAATGTGACAAGTTAGGATCGCGAAAACTACATTTGCCTAAAAGTGACTAAGATGGTGTCTAAAATTGGCCACAGAATATGGGGTAGCCAGTAAGGGCTCTGAGAGGCCGCCAGCGGCACACCCCGGGGACATACCCAGCCAAACTTGACCCAGGTACATGTGTAACCCCCGGGATTCTCCATTTATCGCGATTGCTAACCCCTAATTACTAAATAAACTAGCCCAAGATCTGCAGGCTCTATTTACGTATGGCTTGGTTTACAAAATTCTGACAGAAAAGGCACGAGCAAGTACGAGTCCGAGGAAATCCACTACGCCTGCAATCAGATTTCTCAGCGGAATCTACTCTGTCCACAAACTACGTAGTGTCAATGGCATGCAAAGTCCCTTCCCTTGCTCCCAGGGAACAGCTGATCGAATCCTTCAACTATGAATTGACACTATTGCCTTTGATTTCAATGGAAGCTTCGCAAGAAGCCACAATTCCCACTGTTTCAAGCACAAAACAACTCTTCCTTCCAAAAGAAACATTTGATCATCCATTTGACGTTACTCTGGCGATCCAAGATGGGAAGGAATTCAAAGCTCATCGACGGGTTCTTTCAGAAGCAAGTCCTTTCTTTGAAAGGCTGCTTAAAAGTGACATGAAAGAGTCTATCGAAGGAGTGATCCACTTAGAAATGATAGACGAGCAATGTTTAAGGGATATATTGGAATGGATCTACACAGGCCATGTTCAGATTTCGGCTGCAGAAGAAAATTATGCTGGAGACTTGATCGCCATGTCAGACTACTTGGCTTTACCACATCTGAAGGCTGTTGCTGGGAAACATTTAGTGAAGGACTTAAAGATATCAAATTCTGTTTCATTTTACCAGTTTGGCTTGAAATATCAATGCGACGAGCTCATTTTCGATACTAGAAACTTCATTCATGCAAATTTTATGAACGTCGCCCAAACGGAGGAGTTTTTGAGCTTGTCGTGCGAAGAAATCAAAATATGGATTGCAAACGACAACATTGCTGTAACTGCCGAAGAAGATGTCTTCAAGGTCATTCTTAGATGGGTGAATCGTAATAAACTGGTACGAAAGCAATATTTCCCCGAGTTATTCTGTGAAGTTCGACTTGTGT